TGGATAAACAAATAACCATAAAGAGATGTTCAAGTGATGTTAGGTCCACGCACTACGAAGACCAAAAGATTCGAGTTCTAAGTTGCGAGGGAAAGCTGCTTTTTCTGATCATGTCAGTTGCCCCAGTGTCAGGTGCCACTAACAACACTAACTGAAAACATGGTTTTCAAACTCTGGAATGTGTTTCGAATCAAATCGCTGCGGTGACTGCAATGAAGAAACCGAACGCAAGGATGAATATTTGCCGTTTTGAAACAAATTATGGACGTGCTATCTTTATGGAATACGGGCAAGAAACTGGAGAAGGGCACATTTTGTGCTTATCATGTGATCGAACTTACTTCTGTAGTTCGATCGTCTTAATGTCACAACTCGACGAGCACACGCATAAGCATCTAGCCCTATCTTTACAGGGCATGGTAAAGTCTGACGGATAATACGATAAGAGTAAAACAAAGAAGCAAAAAACGGTTGCATGGGGTCGCAAACAGTTTACATCGTTCAAATACGATGAAGAACTTTCGAACCGGGACTCTTATATTCGCCTTGCAGCGGCTTAGGAAAATATCGATCAAAAGCATCATTTGTGTGGTGCAAATCGGCAAGTTTCTGCTATAACCATTGACGGAATAATGCTTATCTTGTTGATCATGAAAGCTCATTCAATTACCAACAAAAATCCTGCTCAAATCCGACACTTTCGCTTTAGCTATTGCAGAAAAGGTAATGAATTCAGCTTGTCACTTACCTTGGGGTAGAAGAACTGCGATAGAAAATGCTATTAAGAAACTGTTCATCTTAAGATGTTACGGACGCTCAGTTTAGTCGGTTTCTGTGTTTGCTGCTGTTACCAAACAGCGAATTTGGGGCTCTGAGTTCTTCAAGAAGCAAGTACACTGGCGAAGCTACTTTCTAACGACGCGTATGGAACTAAGAAATATGAGTATTATAATGAAGGAGGGTCTTGACCCTGCCAAGAAATCGACCTAAAAGAGCTGAAACTCATTAAAACAATTTTATCTGTCAGAAGGACGAACCTATTCGTAGATCGATGCGGTTGACCTTGCAAGGGTTACATGAACACCCGCTTAAGGAAAACAAAAGGTTGTTTAGGTTTTTTTTTTTTTTTTCCTTTTTTTTTTTTTTTTTACTCTGAGGCCGTATTTAGCAATGACAGTACTTAAAGCTGAATGACGTTTTTTGAATGTAACGCTTCTGAAACGCTTCTGTAACGAACGCTCCTGTAACACCCCTGTCATGTCTTGAACGCAGCGTTTACCCTGGGTACCAGAGGTTTTTTGTCCGTGCGACGAGCTGGGAGCTTCCGCCACTTTTTAAGACTTAACCGAAAAACGGAGGAAACCGCGCATGAAAAGCCTCTGGCACCCAGGGAACAAAGCGTTGCACTGACCAACACATTACATTTCCAATGATAAGAAGGGTAGGAAAACGGTATCAAGGAAATGCCATCCCCGCAAATTATTTGTCGCTGTGTCTCTCTTTAGGAATTTATTTCTGGCCACGAGGGAAACCGTCTTCCGCATAACTATCGCTGCAGCGCTGAAAGGTCATGAAGATCTGTTTGTTTGAAGCGCGGCAATGACAGTTTTCAGTGCAATAACAAGACTGACGACAAATTTCTTGTGTCGAGGAACTTCTTCAAACTTTCATCTTGGTAAAGTTACTCTGTGTCAGTGGCCAGTGGCAGTGCGCGTAAAACCTAACTGAACCATGAAAGGAAACACTCTGTTCACAGCAACGGAAAAAAAATGAAACGCCGGCCGGGATGTGCGAGCCCTTAGAATTCCAATTTAGATGTAATTCGCGAACAGTTTGTGGATTTAAGGGAAGAATCTTTGATGTGAAAATACAGACTTTTTTTCAGCCAATTATAAGCGATCTTGAATTGGGCACTTGGATTGACTGACTTGAAGTTTAATACGTAATTAACCTCGCGAAACCAGTTCATAATCCAGAAATGCTTATTAGTCTGAAATAAAGGTGAAGGAAACTATATAGAGCCGAGAGAAAACACAGACTAATAAAACTAGATGCCTTTATTTCATTCATTCAAAAAGTCCTGACAAAATGCAAGGATATAGCACGGCAATTTATCTCTATGTTTACGGGAAAATCTGCTGAGGTCAGGCATCAGGAAGACACTGCGGGCTAAGTACATAAAAGACCTGAAAAATACACATGAAAGTTTAACCATCAGTAGTTATATAGAAACCCTGAATACTAGAGAAAGCTTGCATTAATGGATTCTGTCTGAAAAATTATTCCCCTGATGGTATTAAGGAGGTATTACAGTGAAAAAAATTAAACTGAAGAACGTTGTTAGACGCTTCGATGATTCTAACATCATTATCAAGAATGAATTTAACCGTTAAGTGTTTTGGATTTAATAATTTATACGAATAAGCAATTGAGAAACCAGCCTTATTCAAACCGCGAATGTTCATACCTAAACTGAAAAATAAAATTCACAAAACTTTGCGGAACCAGATCAAAACTGAGAACTGAGACGCCGTTCTACTCCCACCGGTTGTTCAAAGGGGCTGCCTTGATCATTCTTGGGTATGAATAAATTCTATCATTATTTTGGGAGGACTTTATCCACGCCCTTATTTTCAATCTCGCTCACGTAACTACTTTCCACTTATGTTAGTTAGAACAATTCTGTCTTGCCAGTATGGGTTCTGATTGGCCAAAATACTGATAATTTAATCTAATATGAGCCTTTTATTTGAAAGTTTACCTTAGCTCTCACACTTAAACTTCACCACAAGGTATTTGTCAGTTCCCTTGCAAGGATCACCATACACGCCGTTATTTGCATGCAGCACACAGCTGGTTTTCCTGTCGCAAGCTTTTCGCACGACCGTCATGGATTTGGCAGCCTTGCACTTTGTATTGGAAACGTTTTTGCGTTTGCACACTCGCTTGTTCAGCCGGCCATAGTTCGCCTTCACGATCTTGATTTTCCTTCCTCTTTTACAGGTTAAGGTAGCTTTCTTGCCTTCGCAAACTGTCAAAGACTTGGGCTTTTCTATTACAAAGAATCAGAAAACAATCATTAAACCTATTTATTATCAAATTGGTTTATGGTGGCTAAAAACCTATGTCTTACCGTGGCAAACAAAACGCTAAACTCGATGTTTAATAGTGTAAGACTGTTTTTTACAAAAATTTTAGATCCATTTGCCAGTCGGGGTGAGTCTCACAACTAAATCATCACAATTCGACAAGCCATGCACTTTCATCGGACAACGGTGATTTCCAGAAGTGAACCCTGTAACTTGGAGAAACTCAATTTATACCTTTCCTTACAGCCTTGCGAATCATCCTTGATATTTTAGTGAGTTTTGTGTCCATTTCGGCCAAACGCTTCATCAAGATCTTGTTTGCTGGTAGGAATAATAAAAAATAATAATACAAAAACAATTAGACCTTCTAAATTGAACGGGAGTTGTACATTTGGAAAATCGCCCAATGTTTCTTGTGTTGAATACATGTTGATTGTCGTAAGCCTATGAATCAGCATCTGGGTTTACACAGTTTACAACGGCAATTATAGCCTTTAACCTATAGAATTCTAGCAGATATAGATTCTTAAAGATTAATGATCCTTATGAAAAAATACCTTGACGCGTCTCAAATTTTATGATTTAATTTTTTCACTTTTTTGGCCTTTAACCGACCATGGACTGTTTTTTGTGTTTTGCTCAACAGATTGCCCACAATAGTCGCTTAAGATTTTTAGCACAAATGACACTACAATTATCAAAAGTCAATATCGTACTACCTTTTTTCAGATGCTTCGCTTCCAACTGTAGCAAGCCGATTTTGCCATGAGTATAGCGCACAGTCAAGTCGACGGCACTCACAATGGACAAGACTTGTCCCAAATCTTTCTTATTCAAGCAAACTTTTTTGATTTTCAAACGTTTCAAAGACTTTCCTTTCCCGCGACCTTTTCTGGCGAAGGAAGGATGTAACAGCGCGAGTAACGCGAGAGCGATGACCAAGCAAGTAAATACTTTCAACATCGCAATGGGTTCACCGAAAGTGATCGCGTCCTATCTTCCTCGTATAAAGCGATGAAAAGTCTTCGAAGGCGGCCTAGAACTAGAGTCATTATGGTAGTTGGTAGTATTTCGAGTCTCGCACTTTTTCTTGTTGAATATACGTCAATCGTTTATTTACCTTTTGTGTCAAAGGTTAGTAAGATAGAAACAACACTTAACAAAGCTTTTATTTGCTTTTAAAGATCTGTGGTAGGTTCATCACGCTATTCAACGCATTGAACAAAAACATGGAACTTTAAGAAAACTTTTACCGACTCTAGTTTTACTATACTGCTTACTATCCATGCTGTCCCGGGTATCTTAAAATGAAAGTGTCAAATTCATTTTTTCTTTTATCAGCGTTAAATTTTAGAAGCATATATTTACGAATTTATCATGACTAATTATACATAATTATAAATTATCTGTCTTGAGGTTCGTACGAGTGCACATTATTTTTCTTTTTGTAATTCTTTTAAACTCACTTCAAAACGGTATTTTCAATGAACTTTTTTTTCAGAAAGTTTCAAGTTCCATAATCTTCGTCTGAAAAAAGCCATTTTGTAATAATGCAAATTTTCCCTCAAAGTTTGCGCAGTTTGAGATGGAACAAAGATTAGTTGCGATCGTTCAGGGTATAAATTAAAAGGCAAAGGGACTCTCTGATAGTCTTAGCTACGACCAGACTCGTCCCTAGCGGACACAACACAATTTTCGTTTTTTCCGTCCGCTTGACTATACTCATCCACGCATTTAACTTCCGCTAAACTTCAAGGGTGGAAATATTAAGTTTTATTGTATCGTTTTTCTCTTTTAAGGAATGTCTCTCTGACAAAGGAACTAGTTCCGTTTCCCGTATTAAACCTTAAGTACTACGGAAAAGCAAATCAGGAAAGATAAACTAAAAATATCAGTACTATTTATTGTATGCTACTGTTCAAGTACTGAACAAACATATTCGCAATTTTCTTTGTATCTTCTACAGGGTGCATTTTGGTGTAAGTAATAAACTGTCGACGAATTCTTCTTAACTCCGACATATTCACTGTTCTGTTCAAAAGAACGTGGAGGATAAATGGTCAAGGAAGCACAACGGCACCGTCTGACAAGTCATCACAAAGTACCACAAAAATACGGTGGGGGAAGGGGAGGGGGATGGGGAGGGGGAGGGGAGGAGATGACAACACAATGGCAAACCCAACAACCCCAGGGTATTTGCCATTTTTAAAAACATTTGGTTTCGTCTTCCTCTCTCCTCCACTGTGTGGTTTTCTGTTTGTAGCAGGGAAGACTGATGGTCCTGGCATTTGTTTCACTCTGCAGTATCTAAGAAAGGGTTTTAACTACTTTCCCTTAACAGCTTTGTATCATGTCTTCACACCCCACAGTGGTGAAGTAAAGTAAAAAAAATGTCCATATATACTGTCTGCACATACCAGTCGATTTCAGAAACTCCCTCCTCTCTCCCTCCCTCGTGCGGTGTATTTGTCTCTCGTTTAAATTCACTACTGAGTGGCCTACTACATAAACTTAGAATATGAACGTGATCGTAGTTGAAGAGGTAAAACTGCAGAACGAAGTTGCTAATCCGGAAGCGTAGCCTCGTGAGCTGAAGAGGAATAATAGAAAATAACGGAAATGCTCGAGTTGGAATAATGGAATGATGCCCTTTTTGGGGGGGCAGGGGGAATTAGATAGAATAAAAAAACCTTTTGAGAAGTAACGTTGAATGATGAACTTCCCATTCTTTCTCTACACCCCTAGAGAAGCCACCAAAAAACTATACTACTCACACCCTGTTCAGTATCTTGAAGGACCCTGGAGCTCGAACTCATGGGAAATAATGCAAACCTAGTAAACTCTATCTGTCGTATGCACACACATTTTATAATCAAAGGATATTTTTTCTGATGTTCCAGGAACAGTTACCTGATCGCCTGGTACAAAAGTATGCTGAGAGTTTAACAGTGCCTGCAAGAAAGAATGATATTCAAATTGACTGTCTGGTACCAAAACTACAATGTACACTGACAAAAACTACAAGAAGTACCTCTAAGGCCAGAGCACAACGAGTAATCATGGAGCAAAATTGCCTCTTCAACTGCAATGATCTTCTTCTCATTTTATTTTTTATCCCGCAGTTCCAATCAGGAGTTCGAATCCCGGCTGACAAACCTGATTTTTTTCAGGCTTTTTTTAGTAAATGCATAAGTTGCAACTGTACCTGCACTGGTCATCTTTACATTTATTCCTTCATACCCGGTTCCAGTAAAGAAAAATTCATCATTGATAATTATATTCATCCATGCAATATTCTGTTGATTTTTGTTGCTGAACTAATATAAATCATTCATTTGTTCAGCCTGAACCACATGGTCGAAACTTAAGACATTTTTTCTCTGGGCCTGGGTGTCTCTTTAGGAACATTGCTAAATTTTCTGTAACTTGAACTACAGGGGGTATATAAAAAGAACCTTAATAAGCTTGTCAAATAAAACGTACAACATCTTTCCATATTCATCTGTCATGCACATCAACTAAAGACATGCTGAACAGTTTAATCAAGAGGTACATATACTTACAGTTACTATTTCTTGGGTTATTTTGTCAAGCTCATATAAGAAGTTTGTAGCAGATAATGGTTGCTAGAAATAAGAACAGAATGACAGAAAAAATTTTTAAATGGTACAGTCTTTACATGCGAGTTAGTCAGTAGTGCTCAAAAAAAAAAACTGTGCTGTTGATAATGAACATAGAACCTTTTGACATCCTGAGTGGACGGGATATCTTCCAGTAATAACACCATTTCCGATCTTATGTGTAAAAAATATGGTGGCACACTTAAGAATGATGCTAATTTACTTGAATGTACTTTGTAAACGCTGGTATATGGTCTACAAAATATTATACATTAGTGCTTATTATACAAAAGATTTAAAACGTTGAGTTAGGCATGCCAATGGGTTGTGCATGACAAAATACTACATGAAGATTTAATTTGTACATGACTGTACAATAACATCTTCATTTCAAGGCATCCATGCAGTCTTGCATATTATATAATTATGAGAAGTGTTGTGTTTAAAACGTAATTTTAATTACATGCAACAGTATGTTTACTTACTGGTTGGGTGGCCTGATTTGGTGGAGGTGGTATTCTGTTTATAAGAGCATCATATATAGAATCCAATGGCAGGTCATCACCCACCTGGAGATCAAACTTAAAATAAGCTGGTACCGTACTGGAAATTTCTAAATTTATGGTGTAATCATGGTTTTCAACTCTTTTAAAGACAATTTATATGGAGTAGAGTGGTGCATGACGTCACAAAAACTAACTTGAAGAAATTATTTGACTGGGCAGGACAATCAGAAAGAACAAGATGAACTGTCTACTTGCCAAAATTCAGCTTGTTAGAGCAAATTGACGGTAAGAAATTAGCAACATTATGCTCAGATGACTCCACACAAATCCTTCTAAAATTAACTTGGAGCATATCTTTTAAGATCCAAGTATATATCAGACTTTGTCCCATAATTTCACAAGTTCAATCTTTTGTGACGTCACACTTCTCTACTATATGGTGCTGTTGTCCATACACTCTACATGTACATGCATTCAAAATTATTTAATTCAAGAACAGTGTACTTGTTTGCTATACGGCATTCAACAAATACATGTATGTGTTACAAGCAAAAATTAAAACCAGGATAAAATTCTTTAACCTACAGTAAAACCTTGATATAAGAATGGACCGAGGGACTGGGAAAATGTGTTCACTATAACAAGGCATCATTATATCGACATTCTTTTTCATATAATAATATTTACTATTAATGGTGTAAAGAATATGGTTCATTGTACCGAGAATGTTGTTATTTAGAAGTTTGTTGTATCAAGGTGCCACTGTAGTTTGATTCTCAATGTCCTTTGTCTCCTAGCTCTAATTCATACATAATTAGGGCTAGGAGACAAAGGAAACTGAGAATCAACATAACTTAAAAAATTTAAACCTGATTTTAATTTTGACCTGTAACATAATATCATGTACTGCTCCAAGGAAGATGGCCCTGAAAAGACTTAGGTTTTTAAGAACCTGCATTAAGCCTCGTAATGGAAAGGTGCAAATCTACCCAAACCTTTATCTTTGCTGCCTGCTTATCATAAGGGTAATGTTGTACCACTTGGCTCCATACAATAATGTTTACCTGAATAACAAATAGTGGAGAGTCCCATCGGTTTCTAGATTCCGGTGCTTCAAACCTCATCACCAGTGCATCTAAACTAAAAATTGAAACATTAGCTGCAGATGGGCTGAATAAGAAGTTATCCTTCATGGGCAAATCTATTATTGTACACAAGAAGCACAGCTTACATTTCTTCATCATATCCATTTTCTCTTGTACTGTTCCACTCTCTACATTTTTCTTTTGAAGTGTCACAATGAACCTATCCAAATTTAATAGGAAAAATCTAACCACAGTTAACTGTATTTTGTGTAACGTATGTGATTTATTTCTGAACAATTGCCGAGGGGGGGGACTCCGATATGAAACAGACGGGGATGCTCGTCGTCTCGCTTAGGGGTGTAAATTTTGGATTTTGGTCTCGCTTAGGGTGTCCCGCGCAAAGCGCCAATATTTTAAGGCGCTAAGGTCTCGTTTAGGGTTCGTTTGTTATGTCTTTATATCATTAAAACTCATTGCATGTCGTAGTTGTGTGTTTTTAAGCGGTCTCTTTTAGGGGTCAAAATTTGCTTAAGCCACGCCCAGATTGGTCTCCTTTAGGGATCACAAAAAGCTTGAGCCACGCCCAGATGGTCTCCTTTAGGGGTTAAATTCAAAATTTCCGACGAGCATCCCTGTCTGTTTTATATGGGAGTCCCCCCCCCCCGGGACAATTGCACAGAAAAATGAACACATAGTAATTTAATTACTTTTGATAAATAAACCTCCTTTTTTAAGAGCCTTTTTTGTGCATGTGAACATGTTATCTTGATAACTAGACCATTTCTGTGATAAAATAATTAGAGCAAAATTGTTTGACAGTCGGCAAACTACAGGATGACAGTCCATCAACAAGATTTTGAGAAAGTTGTTCATCATTTTTACCTCTTATCAGAGAGTCTTGAGTATAATATACCATAAATTTTAAGCAAAAAATGTTTTTCTTCATACTATTTTTGTTTTCATTCTCTCTTTGCTACCAAATAATATATTTGCATACTTACAATGCAATGAGTAGTTTTATGTGCCTTTGCCACACAGTACAGCTCATATCTGTAACCTGAAAATTTAACAAAGCTTCATGATGAGCCCCAACATCCACATACAGTAGTCAGATTGATCTAAATAACTGGCATAAGTGAAATCTTCATATTTTAAAAACAGATATCAGCTCCCCCACCCCCCTATAATTGTCACATGGAGTTTAAGCCAAGACTTTTTTTAGTGATGCATGTCAACTGATAGTGAGGCCTTTTCCGTCTTAGTATACCTTGAAACAACCAAATTTGTATTGCTAAATGTCTTTATGCTTATATAGATCATTAAATGGTGTATTTTATACAAAACATTTCGGCAACACCACTGCTCAAGAATGCCAAAACTCCACTTCCAGTTGATGTGAGTCGCTAAAAAAAGTCCTATACTCACTAATGCTCATATATAGAGGTGAGAAGAGTTAAAGCACCAGAGATGTAGAAGAGATAGACTTTATGGTACAGAAAACTCTTCTAAGAAAATGGACTTGGATTAATTTGCTGGTGTGGTTAAAGGTGTTGTAGCCCTTACCCTAACCTTGACATGTGCACTGGCAAATTAAAGCAAGTGCTACAGAAACAGATAATACTTTTAATTTATCCACTCAGTAACACAATCGTCATGTTCTTACCTTTTATATAGTTAAGTGAATCTAATATGACAATATCATCTCTTGAAATCAGCCTTGAAAAAATAAATAAATTAAAATGAATAATAATACTGGAACATCATATGCAATGGGCTCAAGTGCAATACTTGGTAAACAAAACTAAAATTTGCTGGTTCCTTAAGCTCTTATAATTAGTTGCTAAACAGAGTTTGTTTTTCCACTTCTCTGTCGTAAACAGGGTATGTAATTTAAACCAGGCTACTCCTAAACAGTCTTAATACATCAAACAATTAAGGTGCTTTAGTCTGTTTTTTGAAATCTAAAGAGGGTCCAGGTCTCAAAATCTCAGTAACATTTCAATATCGATGCCCAAACCTGGACAATATAATCATTTACTCTTGAGTAACTGAGTGGTAAATCATATTTAAGTGGCAGATTGTTTCTCTTTAACCACACGGGCTCTATTATTTGAATTGATCTACTAGCTCTCTACAGTGTTGAAGACTATCCCAGTAAGGAATAGTATATATTATTGAGCAAATGTAACTGAAAACTACATTGGCAGAAAACCAGCTGCAAATTATGGGTGCTCCCTTGTTTGTTTCATGTAGTAGGTTTACAAGGATGGTCCATGGGACCCATTTCAGGTACTAATTCACATGTTTATCCTGGCAAATAACAAGAACATTAAAATTAAAGTCATAACAAAAAGGATAAAGGAAGACTATAAAAGCAACCAAAAACACTAGCAAATCCTTGCGTGAGTGTGAAAATCGTTCATCATTCAGCTAACTACCTTTCCACTGCAGACTTCAAAAGACCTCTTGCCTCTTTTTCATTTGCTGATACTTGGGGGAAAGAAAAAATACCGCAATCACACTTATGGCCATTCGCAGTGTAAAAGCGTGCAAAGTACCCGACTTTGCAACTGAGAAGCCATCACCAGGTGGATCATGGGTATAAGAATTATTACAATTCCATGACCTTTGGACCCAGTCTAAAAATTAACTTGTGTCAGAAGCATCTCCGGGTATACGTTACTCACAGTATTATACCTGAGTAAACTGCGTTTCTTTCCAAATTCAAACTCTCGTCGCCGGCCAAATGAACAGTCTTTCCTCTGGAAACTTCAAAATGATTTTTTAATTCCTTAGCCCTCTTTGATTTTCCTGAACAAGGGTATCCACACATGACTACTAGTGGCATTTTTTTCTGATTTCAAAGCTAAGAACTTTTTCCTTCGTAGTCTAGTGTCGCCGTGTCCGCCATATTGAAGACCTTGTTTTCTATATATGGCCATCATGACCTAATTTAGTCAAAACTCGTTCCCAACCTTCTCAGTCACTTGAGCTTTGCAAGATGGTGGACAGCACGTTGAATGTTTTTCTCCGATTTGGCACGTTGCTCCTTCTTTGTCATGAGTGTTGGAGCGATACTACTGTTCAGATCCTAAATGACAACAATTTTGAGCACTTAACACAAGCTTCAACAGGAGCAACGACGGGAGACTGGTTTATAGTTTTGTGAGTTCATCATAGGCGAAGTTGAGCTTATATCTGTAGAATAGACAGTACAATGGGCAAGTACTTTTTGTGCAGTATCTATTAAAAGTGCTTGCCCATTGTCTACTGAGTTTCTCTTTATTTTATGAGCGTCTGTTCGTTCGTTAGCTTAAACACGAACACGAAATGTCATATGCCCCCTAGAAAAACTTCCGGTAAGATTTCCGGATAACCACATAAGGTTAGATTTATTTAAATATGCATGCAGGAATTTCATACTTTTTCTCACAAATAGTTGAGTAGAGTCGAAACATGTTTGCATACTAAATGTGTGGGGTTATACAGAAATCTTACCCTGTGATTGTTAAATTTCGATCCAGTTTGGTTGTTTCATTTCATCCGATTATGATGGATGGTTTGAAGGTGACAAACCTAAGCGATGGCTAAATTTTTTATTTTCCAGTTCAAATTTTATTGAGAAGCGCCCTACAAATGTTCCACTACTGTTTGTTAGACTGATATGTATCCGTGACGACATCATTACGATCAAAGTGTGTAATCGTGCAAACCCCTCTCAAGTGGGGTTCGCACATATGTACGAGCATTGTTTTCTTTTAACACATGACTTTTTTTTTGTCACTTGCCTTTGCCACTCCACAGCAAAGTCATGACATGTCTCAAGTGACCATTCAAACAAATGCAAATTTTCCAAACGGCTGATGTTATTTTGAACTGCAGTGAAAGGCAACAAACGCCTTCATTATTCTGTAGCTTCTGCTTTGCAGTTTTCTTCATTTCCACACCATTATCACTTTATCATCATCTCCTCCCACTCTTCAAAAACAGGTTTGATCGTTCAATGTATGATCCATTGATATCGGATGCATTCAGCAAAAAGCCTGCATTTTGTTGCTATGATATGGCAACATTAGTTTGAATCTGCGCATGTGCAGAGTAATTTCTGCATAACTAATCAATTACACACTTTGATCGTGTTGATGAAACTTGACTCAAATGTTTGGCTTTTGCAGCTCATTTACTGACAGAGACCCAGAGTGTGCTGAATGCAAGAAAGCAGATGAAGCAATAGAAAAAGCTAAAGAAAAGTAAGTGTGCTATATGTTCAAGTTTGTTAAAACTACAACAACCTTATTTGAATCTCCTAAGTTCAATTAAATTGCTTAAGTGATACTTACAAATAGCTACACGTGCAGTTAGCTAATCAAGGTGAGTATTGAGGAAAACCTGACAAAAGAAAGAAAGAATTCAGCTAAATACTTAACAAGCCACCAGTGTATTATGACTGATAATTGATTGATCCAGTAATTATATTTGGTTATTAGTTCATCGAAGCCCAAAGGTTCTAGCATAAAGGTGTCTGATCTTTTCGCTGCAAAGTTGTTTTGCTGCAAGTGGGTTCACTGCATCATGAAGTCAATTAACTGCAAGCATTTCTCAATTCACTGCAACAATGGCTCTAAGTTGCTTCAAAGACATGTTTAGAGGCAGTGGGAGGCAGAGTGGCCGAGTGGTTAGGGTGCTGGACTTGTTTCTGAAGGCCTGAGTTGGAGTTGTTTCTGGAGGCCTGACTGGTAGCTGGATTTGTTCTTGGTGGTTCCAAGTTCAAATCCTCAGCGATGCCTGTACATAGCCAACTGGCTTGCCTCCTACCAGTTGGAATTCTGAAACCTTGTTACTTAATTTTCCATTGCCATATATTTCTTTCATTGTCCCTGAAAGTAAGCCTCATAAGGGAAGAGGATAATTATGTACCAGTTTATAACAACAATACTACTACTACTACTACTACCACTACCACTACCACTACCACTACCACTACCACTACCACTACCACTACCACTACCACTACCACTACCACTACCACTACCACTACCACTACCACTACCACTACCACTACCACTACCACTACCACTACCACTACCACTACCGCTACCGCTACCACTACTACTACTACTACTAATAATAATATTATTATTATTATTACTATTACTATTACTATTACTATTATTAGATTGAGCCAATATTTCATTTCACCTCTCCAAAAGCTTCTCTGTCATTAAGCCAAGTGCCAAGTTGACATCCCTGTTAAGTTTGACTTTTTGAGACAAATCCGGCACAAGACTGAGTATGGATAAGAACAGAGGAATACAGGAATGAGGTTGACCCCCAATAATCTCAAGATAAGAGTTACTGTTTTATGAGATCTGATCTGTAATGAACAATCTGTGTTTCGGTTCAGTTACATGTCTAATAAAAAGTTGTAACTTTTTAGGTTAGGCCACAAGTTAAATTTTGCCTTAGTGTTACCACCGAGGAGTAGTTGTAAGTATGAATTTTGTTTAATTCTCCTTATTATTCTTCATCAATTTGTAATGACTTAAGTTAGTCCTAAAATGTGTTTTGTGAGATTTTATGCTTTTACTCATAATTTACAAAGGGGACAGAAATAACTTTGAGATGTACATGTAAAAGAAAGATACCTTATTATTTATTTTAGTATATCAGGAAAACCCAATGTGAAAGTACTACTAAATACATAATTGAGGTTTTTGCAAAATCAAACTTTCCAACTACAGTTAAACCTCTGCCAATGCCCCCCCTTCCGCAGTCCACATACATGTCCACATGCATGGGTGCTTCTACACCAGTCCATACAGTGTAGAGTAGAGGTACAGTTTTGACCAGTTCATTGTTCTTAATGCAGTCAACTCTTGCCTCACAGGAACTTCACTAGTACAGACACACTGAAAAAAATTACTGTTTATATTATGGAGTCATGAGCACTTTTATTAGGTCCAATTGGTCATTTCTATTGGTCATGTTCTTGCTACACGTGAAATGGAAAGGGAGCCGACATATTTCAACATTCAGACTCAGATAACAAATATGTATTTTGTTCTTGTCATGTTATATTTAGTTTTTAGTTTCAGTTACAGTTCTTTTCTGTTGCACATGCCCCGGACCCCTTAAATCTCACACCTTCAGAGTTCACAGGTTGCGCCTTTGGTGCAAGTTATAACCTTGTTGAAAAGCCTGAGTAAGTGGTGTAATAATGTGATTTTTTACTTTTTATTATGATACAAAAAATTTATGGTATACTGATCATCAGTTTATGCACCCATTTCACTGTGTTCCAAAATATTCAATTTTATTGTAATTCTTTATTTTTTTACCTTTTACAGTAACACTGAGGCGATTTGATGTAGCAAGATGGCCTTTTGTCACGCTGTGAGTATTCTTCCTTTCTGTTCTTAACTTTTTTCTCTTTTCGATTTCCAAAGTGATTCTGTGTTTTCACTCACGTGGCCAGCATCTATGCAAATTTATTGGAACAAAAGAAACATAAGAAAATAGTTCAACTCCCACAGGACTGGTTTGGGACACAAACATGGCCGCCGTTTCATTGTTTTGGGACACAAACATGGCCGCCGTTTCATTGTTTTGGGACACAAATATGGCTGCCGTGATGTCATGTGAAAACACACAATATCCTGCATTAAAAGCTTAATTGTTATAATTTCAGCATTTCCTGTATCTCCAAAAGACAGTATAAACTGTTTCAAAAGAATTTAATAAACCTCTAGTAGTATTATGTGTGGAGTGATGAACTAAAATAATGTTGCTGACAAAATAATGCCAGTTTGCATAGTGGCAGTGCCGATGTTGCAGGTCAAAATTAAATTCAGGTTAAATAACAATTATTCACCGAAGTGGAGGTGGGTGGTCATGGATATTTACCGAACTGCAAAGCAGTAAGGTGAAAATCCACGACTAGCCACCGACACTGAGGTGAATAACTGTTTTAGTATATACTAAAACAGTGAGATAATTGAGCTCAAAAAAGGTGATTTTTAACTCAAATACTGTTGCCAACGATTACAATTTTGGCGCGTTGCGACCGGGCGGCCGCGGCCGTCACTTTTTCTTGACGACGATTAAAACTTTTGAAGGCATTTGTTTAGCTCTTGCGGGGAAATTTCTTCAAAAGGAGTTGTGAATTCTTTTTGTATTTAAAATTATTCTATAAAAAAAGATTATTAAATTTAGTTTTAAGCTTATTTATGAACAACTCAACTAAATAAAGTAATGCAAGACTTAAACTTAATTTGCATTTGTAAACAAAAAACTTTTTCACCGGTTTTATCGATAAATTCGTGTCAAAAAGACAAAGCTTTACCTGCTAAAACTTCCAATCCGACCTTCGTCACCTTCTTCGTGTATTTCGGAAACAGCTTGCATGATTAGTTGTGAAATTTCTTTGTTTGTTTACGGCAGCAAACCGGGAAGGCATTTTGCTCGTAACTTACGCGAGTTTGGCGTCGCTCGTTCTGAGGAACTGGAGGTGAATCAGTGAATAGCGCAGGATATTCACTGATTGAGTAGCCAATCAGAGCGCGAGAAAAACACCATCCACTGTTTTAGTATGTACTAATATTTTTTAACCTGGGTTGATTCTCAATTTCCTTTGTGTCCTAGCCCTATTTCATGAACATAATTAGGGCTAGAACACAAAGGAAATTGAGAATCAAACCAGGTTAAGAAGATTTTAACCTGAATTTAATTTTGACCTGTAACTATGTACTGGGAGGTTTAAGAATGCTGATTAAGGGCTTTCAAACTCACTTTAGGGTCTTCAAGACAGAAAAACAATATTTTTATTAATGCAATAGAAGGCTAATGGTCCTACCAATACATGTAAAGGTACGCTATGGCCTAGGGTTGTTCATAAAGAAAATATCAGGAACTGATAATAAGTATTACATTGATTTGGCCAAAGTTTAAGGTGGAGGTTCTCTTAATAAGCTTCTAATTTACTCCAAACAATGAACTTGTAACCATTGGAAAGAAATCCACTTAGAAGAGCCTGTGATCATTTGAAAACTAGTACCTTGTCAACGGATAACTTAAAAAAAGAACATGTAACCTCAAATGAGCTATACCTAAGCCTGCGACACAGTCATGTGATACTGGTCAGTGGAAATCTTCTTTTGACAGCTGTAAATTGACCACCACATGGATGTGCAATATCCAGTGGCAGGCTCCCACACGAGCTAGAAAATGTGAGATCTCACACTGGTTTCCCTCTGGTGCTGGGATGGATGCACAGTCATGTCACTACCAAATTAATAACTAAATTTCTGAGCTGTGGGGCTTCACCTGCCAGCACCCCCGTGGAGCTCCATTATTAAAAGTAACAAATGGCGTCATAGATTTGTGTCTTTCCCCTTGGAAGTGGGAACTTGTAGAGCATTGAAGTGATTATAGAACTATTTTTGTCAGTCTTAAGCAGGGAAAGCAGTATTTGTATTCAGAGGGCAAGATGGATGAAGAATCATTTATCAAATTTATAGAAGAAGGCTATAAATTAGCTGCATCTCAACCAGTTCCTCCTCCAGTTAGCAAATTGTAAGTGTAATAATGGTAATAATGAAGGGAGCACAAAAGCTGTGATGAAACTATGAATTCAACGTGGCCCAGCACTTACATTTCAATGCTTTGCTATAAGCACTAAGATCTTCATTGTCACCCAAAGTGTAACAGGGTGCTGCTAGAATAAGGTCCCAAGGGGCTACCCCATGGGGGCACTAGATGCTGCTAGAGTACTACCCTATGTTTTTGTGCAAAAACTAATTTACTAGTGGCCATCCTGGAGCAGCAGTTAGGGAGAAGACACTAGGTGCTGCTAGAAAACAGCCCTGTGCTGTTTGGGCCAAGGAGACCGTTACACTCGGAGCTTAAACTGGAGCTCCTTGTAGTACTTGCTTATTTCCCCCTCCCCATCCTTGGTAAGGGTACAAAGTGCAAAGTTACCCCCACCCCCACCCTTAGTATTATGTCACCAGTAACAACTTAGCCACCTGAGTTAGATGAGGAAGTACAAAGCAAAGAATGAAAGTTTCTTCTTAAACAGGATGAAATAGGATTTCAGTGCATCTGTGGATGACTTCCAAGGGTGAATGAATTTTAACCTGTTCCATGACTGCGAAATAATGATGAGTCAGGAGTGATGTCATCTTCAAAAGTGTCTGAATCTGAAATTTATTCATTATTTTAGTGACATCTTCATTGAAGAGCTCATGAATGATGCAAAGGTATGGTCGGACGTTTTTCCTCTACTTTAATGTTTTATTTCTTTATCTCTCCATGTACTCGACTTTGATAATATTAGAAATAACGAAAGGGTGGGAAACACATGGGGTCATGCATGTCGTAGGAGCATTCCCCAGGGATATTTTCCAGCGACAGGAAATTTGTCCCAACAGAGTTCAACTTAATGAATGTTCCAAGGGCGCTATCACCTTCGTGCAGACGGTTCTACAACATTTTTTTGCAACGGAATGAATTTTTTGAATCAGTCAGCGACAACCATGGAAAATCACCAAAGAAACGTATCCTGGAGCACTTTCGTGTGTCTCCTGACATTGTGTTCTTGTCTGTACTTCATGTCTTAGCTATACTCGTTCCTGTATTAACATGCCTTTGTAAATAGATACATTGCACGTGACTGTGTCGCGCTGTAACAGGTTGCTGCTAGTGCCACTACTGAGGTTTACGGTCAAGTCGCCCGAAAGCAAAGTTGCTTCGCCCGAAATTTATAGACAAGTCGCCCGAAATGCTGACGGATGCCTCTCGTAGTTTTGCCATTCTAAGTTCGTCTCAACGTGGCGTAAAGAACGAGATATATATTACACTTTTATTACTCTAGGTTCGTCTCAATATGGCTTAATAAACGAGATATCTTGCACACGCTATTTTATTGAACTATTTCTCTGTGCATTACTAACCGGTTACCCACTAATGGTCATGTTTTGTTTTATCGTAGCACATCATTCAAATACGGAAAAGTGCCGCTGTTTTCATCTTTATCGCTGGAATTCTGTTTGGTTTGTTGTTACTTCCCGTTATCAGATTGTTGGTCGAATGCCTTGTTAACACGTTTCTTCAAGAGCCTGATACAGATCAGGGATTTGAAGATGAAGGACTAGGCAAAGATGAGGTCGACGAAGATGAGGAGGAAGAAGAAAAAAAAGATAGATAGATGCCAAAACAAGACTGGTTTATGTTATTACTAGATGTATATAATTTAACACCAAACAATTACCGTTTAATAAACATCCTTATATGACTTACTCACGAGAGACTGTGGGCCGCGGTTTTTGAACGATATATATTTATTCTTAGGCTTCCCTTCCTAAGTTGATTTTCGACAAAGAAAGATTTGTTTTTTGGACGCCACAGTAAACACCCGCCTATAATAACCTCCTTTTTTTAAGTCTGGCAAAATAGGTTCTTGTATTTTGGGGTACTTATTGGCAATTGAAACTAAGTAGGTTTTTAATTAGGTTCGTAATCTTTCTGAAGGAGATGATAGATTGTGGATTACCAGAAAAATAAATAAACTTTATATTTATTCACAATGTTATTATCATAACCCTAACAAAACTGATTACTGAATTTATTTATAGTTTATCATAATCATAATATAAAGTTTATCAAAATAACCCACATATAAGAACCTGCTTGATCTTGCTTGGCTAAACAAGTTCTTTAATTTTTGGGTATTGAAGTGGAACTTCCAGGAAGTTCTTAATCCACAGGTTCTTATTAGCGGGTGTTTACTGTATTCGCCTTCGACAATGTTGTATCGGGGCTTTGCCAAATTGGAAATTGCTTAAAACGCGGTGTAATTCCGATTGAACAACCGATCTTTTTGAAAAATGCACATCTTGGTTTCAGAATTCCGTTCTCGAAAAGTACACTGTAACTAAGATGCGTCCACGGTGTACGGAAAAAGCGGATCTTAGCTCTAGTGGAGCGGGGGGGGCATTTTCGCTCGGCTTAACTGAGTAAAGACTTGAGAATGAAGGGGTTATGGTTTCAAAAGAAACATTAGTGTTGTGTCTCCTTGATGTGGGAGTGAATTGATTCGTTAATTCTGACCGTTCTATCCCTTTCCTTTGCCTTACTTCGAACGCCTGCCACACAAAGCCTGGTAACAGGTGAACTCGCTGAGAGCACAGGATCATAGTCGCTAACTACCTTACAAAGGTACTAACAAAACGATTCTGTTTGAAATAAGCTCATTTTAGAATTATGTACTCTATGAATTGTTTTGCGTGAAAAGAAAAAACATTTGAGAATCACCTGTTCAAACTGTAAAATACCTTTTTGCGTGTCTTCGCCTTAAAAAGGAGTCAGTTTTTAATTTTATTTCCGGACTGGGTTCACGAACCTGCCCTAACTTAGCCTGTGTTAGGCTCTGGGATAGTAGGGACGTTGCGAAGATAAAACAAGCAAAGGGAACCCGCGTGATCTAGGAAAGGGGGTTGCTGCGGGAAAATCTCATCCCCCTTCCACGCGCGCGCGATCTTGGAGCCTGGAACAGGGTAACTCTAACTTGGCCGGGGTACCCACATAGTGGCATGAGGTAAACGGGAAGGGATCCCAGGGGAGTACTCCGGATTTCGAGTGACGGGTATGATCGAAGGAATTTTTGGGGGGTTGAAATTTTCCGGATTGTGGGATTTGTTTGGGTATGGAATTTTACTGGAATTTTTGGGTGGCTTGATTTAGTAAGGATTTTAATTTTGGGGGGTATTCGATCAAAACAATATGGAGGCTCGTACTATGTTGCCTGCGATCCCGGCCGCGTACTTCTGCGAATAAATACAACCAAATTACAGATTTTCCTATACCCGGTCGATACAATAGTACTTCAACTTGTGAAATCGCATCATCCTTTACGGTATAGCGATAGCGATACTCACGCTGACGTCACCAGGGGCACATCATATAACAAGATTTTTTTATTTGACTAGTAACAAGTATTTGAATAATAAAAACAATTGTTGTAAACAGTGATGCCTTCTGAAGTCGTTTGTACGTGTGTAAAGTTGTCTTTTGCCCGGGGCGACTCACGTATGAAAAGGATGGGAGTACTTATTGAAAAATTGGAATTAAACCCTTAAGAATTAGACCAATCGGACCTGGTTCAAGCTTTGTTTGATCCCTAAAAGAGAGGGCTTATGGAAACAGACAGCCCCAGTGCAATTCATTACTAGGACCTATATAAGAGCAATATTGACTTAATTTTAAATTAGGCAAAATCAGGAGCTCATAAGGCAAAAGATGTTTGATTGAATGCTCTCTTCAACACAATTGGATGGTGATTATATCAGTTTTCTCTTTACAGACAACCCTGAGCGATATCTTTAAATGTAAAAAAGCTAGAAAGGTTTCTTCCCTGAAAACTCTGAATGAACCAAAATCGCCCCTCAACACGACAACAGCACCCTGGGGGGTATAACAGAGTTTAATTATCGGGGAGACTGCACCCCGAGGTCCGACCCTTTACCCCCTCTTTTATATGCCATTTTTTACAGAAAAGGTACCTCTTTTATAAACCTTGTATTAACAAATGGTGCCCCCTTCACATACCTAGTTTAGAATTTTGCATCCTTTTAACTGCTGTAAATGCACTGTCTTATAAATATGAATAAATCACAAAACCGGAAAGTTTTCTGTTAGACCCTTGGGCTTTTTACAGATAGAAAGCATAGATTTTCCTACCCTTTCTTATACTTTAACTGGCAAAATATCTGCCCTTTCATATACCTGAAGCGTGAAAGAGCCTCCCCGTATAAGCCATTATGGGAAATACCCTCCCCCCGGAACGAGCATCGCCATCTTTGTCATATGGTAGTCCCCCGAGATCCGGGATATTATGGCTATCCCGGGCAAATGAGAGGCGAGTCGCACACCACACCCAAAAAAAGCGCCTGAATTGCTACTACCCTTGTAGCAGAACTCTTACTACTAGGAATTTTATCCATAAGTTAAGGGAATTGTTGATGTCCGGCCCCTGGACGAACAGACTCGACAATATTTTTAGGTTTCATATAAGTAGGCACGTCGTCGAGTCGTGCGGTTTACAAACCGCAAGTCAGTACTGCCTGGCTACTACCGGTACACACGCCGAGAGCACATGACCGCACGTGGCCATTATAATTCATTTGTTTCTTTACAATCTGTACATTTCATTTCCATTGCCATATAGATCACATCTATTTACAACTTAAGCTAGCTTGACTGGTTATATTGTGTCCTTGACTCAATGATTAGGCTGGGTATTTCCCATAACTTGCGGGGGGCACTGCGTTGGCCCTACTTTATTGCCTTATTCGTTACTGGGGAAGGGTTGTCGCCAAAGAAAATTATTTCAGTTCAGCCGAGAACTGAGGTGACTTGTTTGTTTAAAAATGTCATTGGATCATTTTCAAACTGGCCAGGATATTAACAGGATATTCGCTGCCGAGGCCATTAAAAAAACTGTAAATGGTTTGGTGCCGAGTAAACAAGATTGTATGCTAATGACTTGTCGCATATTTTTGGTCATCTGACAGTGTGCTGAAAATAGATACCACTTGATAAGACATACGCGCGCGCGACTGCAGGAGGGCATTTTACCGTAACTCAACTTTATTTCCTTTACCTTGCTGATAATTTCTGTTTCTACTTCAAAATAGCCGCTCCTAGCAGCCTTTAGAGCTTTTTTAGTAAGTTAACTTCGCTTTGGTGAGAACAAAAGACCAGAAGTCAACAGTTGTTTGCTGCCACACGGCAAGGAAAATGGCGATGAGCTTTGGAGCATGTTTTGGAGCGCGATCAAGGGGGACAGAACAGGTAAGGTTTAGTTGTTCTTAGCGTTTTACATTCGACCTTAATCTGAAGTCAGTTTTCAAACCTTTCGTAAATGTGTGTGAATGTACTGCGTAAAGACATCTAAATCCTTTTTAACATGCGTTGTTTCGCCCCTAATTCAAGACCACGAGAAAGCTATGTCCGTCATGTTTTCGATCAGTGATCGATACCAATTGCACAACTGTTAGGGATTTTCCACCGCCTGATATTTTGCAGTTGCCTCTTGTACCTTTTTACGTCTACATAAGTTAATTTTGTGAATGTGTTTAATCAAAACTCTTTAATACCCAAATGCTTTGGCAAATATTTCTGTTGTCTTTGTAAATTTATACAAATTTCCATGGTAGATGAGATCAAAATTTGTCCTACGTGCTTACACTCTCTTCTCATTAAGAGCATTTATTTCTAAGTGGCTTTAGATCTTGATTTTCTCTTTGAGAAATTAGCCTGAAAGTGAAATGGAGAAGGATGGAAACTTTTGGCTTCAAATTTTGTCAACCCTTGTCGAAACTTCTAGCTTCACAGTTGACTGCGATCGCGAGAAATGAGATGCAAAACAGGATATGAATTGTTCTCTTGTTACCATCTCGACACGTCTGCTTTGCCCCATTGAAACGTAAACTGATTTTTTCAAACCAAGCAAAAAATCGGTAAAAATTCTAGCGATAGTCGGTGTTGCTGCAACGTAAATCGTGTTTCGCTACAATAAAGTTGGTCGGTTTCGGTAGGAATATGACACCTTGCTTGTCATCAATTTGTAACTCCAATATCTGACGTTGTGAGAAACAAATATTATCTGCGTACGTATAGACGTGAATTGTTCGTTTTATAAAAATATCGCATACACTTGCACGAAACTACTAAACCGAGGAAATATATTAAAGAAAAATATGCATCGAGTTGATTATTTAATACGTGTTAAGCTTTCTTTCGTTTCCTCGATTATGGTTTTGATAAGTCTGTAGGAAACACTGTGTGTATCTCGGGTATCTTGGTGTATCCTGTTATGCAATTGTTCCCAGTTCCTTGTTTTCCGGTAGTCAATTTTCCATGTTTGCAGGGTATTGGCGAAATTTTTAATAAAATGGTGACGTTGCTAAGAAAAGCTGAAAGATAAAGACGTGTAAGTGGCACGCGATCAAGAACAACAACCGGAGAACAGAAAGTGCATAACCTGCAAATTTCTCTTTTTCAGAGTTTGGTAAAATCCGAGACTCGCCGAGACGCCGAGTCCCTGGTTTAAAAACTCAAATTTCCATGGCAAAAGTTCGAGAATCAGAAAGAATCACACATGAACGAGAGAGTTCGAGGCTCATAACAAACACTTCCGAGGATCACCACCTCCATTAAAATGTCGGAATTAAGCAAATATTTTTTAATATAGAAAGGGAAGATACCATCAGGGAAAACCAAGGATTAAAGTTTGATCGGGCAAGGCCAAGTGGCGACCTTGGTGAAATATCGTGCAAACCTTTCAGAAGCACTGGCATAAATGAAATGTGTGTCAGTCAGTTGTGTTAATTCTGCTTTGTCATTTCCAGCTTGCAAATAGATAAAAGAGTTTGTGAATTTATTAGAAAATACCGCCTTCTCTGCAAGTTCTCACATTTTCATGTCACGTTAAATTTCAGAATTTTTCTTTTGTGGTAAATGTATATAAGGATGAGTGGGAGCCCAGATAATTTGGACTGTATCTAAGAATTTAAAGACGACAATACTCAGTGTACATTCTTAAGTGAAATTCTTGTCATGTTCACGTATTGCATTCGTTTTATATTGAACATATTAAAAAGCCTGTTCACTGTTATCACTGTATTTGACCTTGGTTCCAACGCCAGCATTTTCAGCGTATTTTGGGGTCAAAAATTTCTCAAAGCTGGGAGCTATTTGTATTTCAAATGCAAAGAGGAAGCTACTTCATTCAAACGACTTCCGGTACCCATGATGCTCAGTTAATTTTAGTGACCGCACCCTCGTGGAAGTGTGGGAAGGAAATCGAAGTGGAACTCGTAAAGTAGACAAGTTCGCCATGATTTTGCGGCTAAAATTTAGATAAGAGAAATTGTATCGTGTACTGCTGTCGATCGGAAGAATTCCGTAGAGTACAATGAGCGAGTTATGGGTGTGTTTTCCTTGTTGTGTTACCGAGCAACCTCAACCGGTACGGATATTGTTGGAGCATGCATGCCAGTGCTACGCGCCGATTTGCGATCCATTCTAACTAAAATTCTTTGCTCGTATTCTTAACTTTACAGAGAAGAAGAAGAATAGATCGTTCCATGATTGGGCAGCCAACGAATTTCAAAGTAAGTTCTTTGTAGTGTGATTTTATCCTCACAGATAGAAACGTGTTAGTTTAATTAAACTCAAGTTTTGGTTTTGATTCTGTCCACAGCACACGGGTCATATAGGAAGCGGCGATATGGCGTCCGGCTCAGACGTAAGTTTAACTCGAGAGATTTGCTTTTATTTGTCGTGAAAATAATTGTTCTTGAATTTTGATCTACAGCAAAATTTAACTCCTTCTCAATCTTTTATTTACGTTTAACAATTATCCTACAAATGGACTGAAGTTATTGTTTGAGTAGGTTCTGTGACACCTATGTAACCACTCTTCGTGAATCATTCAGCTTTGAAATACAAATTTCCCCTTGTTTTTTTCTCACCTCACATTGTAGGTCGTGCTGTTGAAAATAATGAAGGTGGATAAACAGAAGCTGATTATCAAATAGGGTGCTAAAGCAGTCTTAAATGTCTGATGATTTTTTTTTAGCTCGGATCAATTCAAGTCCAAATGCAGTCGAAAGGAGGCTACCAAGGAATCAGTGTTCCAATCAGCTCGACTCCCGCTGGGATTCCTGTAGTGGGAGGAAATTAAAATCTTACTTTTGTAGAAAGAATAACAGTAAGTAGACAATATTTTGCTTTTTTATTGTTTGTTTTAGGCACAAACTTATATGATTTGCATCTTATTCCACCCTATTTAGTAACTTGAAAATTCTTTTATGCATTTTACGTGGTGTTGAACATCTATTTCACTTTCATCGATTCCTTTCCAATAGTTTATAAATCGGATTTACATTTAGCTGTTTGAATATTGAAGTGAGTAGGATTTGAATAGAAATTCAAGTTCGTGATGATGATCTTTCCCCTTTTTAAGTGTAATTCTAATACTCTGCTAAGAACTTTACCTTAAATTACAGTTGTGTACGCTATTATGAAGAACAGTTGTTCTGCGAAATTAACTTCACCCGCATCTATGCTGCTGAAACAAAAGTCAACGTGTTCCAATGCGAATTCTGCTTCTTAAGTACATCCCCCCTCTTGGGGTAATGAAACAAAGTAAACATTAATGTTACTTTTAATGTGCAAACTGTTTTTTGCTATCTGCTGTTAAAGAGGCTATTCCTACTCTATTTGACACATTCTTTTCTGCTAGTTTTGTTGGTTGAAAACTGCAAGTAATTTCAAGGTTTTAAATTATTCACTATAGCCATAAATAGTTTAGTGCCCAAGTCTCAAAAGTTACTTTATAGATGGTCTGATACTGGTGTCTTTTGATGATGTTTCACTGATGACTACTACTTGTTTGGCCCTTGGCCCCAAATGGAGCAGGGGCCATCAATGATGCTCCTCTTTAAACTCTGCTCTGGGCTAGCTGTCTTTACTGCCTCAGTCCAACTGATTTCCATCTTCTTAAACTCTGCCACACCAGTGTGCTGCCTCCAGCATTTCCAAGACGCCCTTCTTCTGTGTACTCTTAATGTTCTACCTTTAAAATACATCAGAATGCAAACTTGAGTAATTTTAGGTGAAGTTCAACGAGTTCTGGAAAAGGAAACTGGTATGTTCTGTGAATGTTAGCATTGAAGTAATCAAGCCTCTAAGTGAATTTGGAAAATTTTTCTTTCATGCTTTCATGAAACTCAGTGCAATTTATTGAAAAGCTTTCTTCTGACATTTTCATCAAATCCAGATGCTTTTAATGATTTGTGAGGGATGGATAAACATATTTATGATAGATCTATTGATTAATCTTTGGTTCCAAAACATGAAAGTTAAAATTATGTTTATCACCGACAGTGAGTGAAAAAGTAGTAGCTGTGAAAGAATTTAAACAAATTTTGCATGTTGCCTTTTAGAGTGCAAAACAGCTACATTTAAACCATAAGCTTGTCAGTTATGCATGCTGTATTTTTCCTGAAAGGTATGCATGGCTTTCACCAAAATATAATTATTATATTGTATCTTAATTTTGTTGTTTTCATACTTGAGAATGCATAACTTTTGCCAAGTTGGATGATTCCCAGAGGGCATTGTTCCTCTACGGCTACAGTACAGCCCAGTGATAAGCGACCAACGCACACGCGAAACACACGCAAGTTTTTTGCATTTATGCAAAATCATTAAGTAGTTTGAAAACGTGTTTTTGAAACTAGCTTTCACTTTTTTTATTCACTGTTTATGCTTCATTGTTTTCGTTTTGTTTATTCAAACAAAAGGAAAGAAATGCTCCCGAACTGCCAATATGAATGGAATGGTATTGAATATTCTATTTCTGTGAAAGCCTAGAGAATTGAGGCGAGGATTGAGTCTCGCAAGACTGGAAAACCAAAACAAAAGATTCACCCAGACTGATTTGTTGATAATTTTGCATAGATATACTCTAGAACATACAGCTGTAACACAACACGGCATGGTGGCAGGTGCAAAACACAGGTCACGCGTCATAGGTCAGTAGTGCTGGTCACTGCTTTATTAATGAATAACTGAGACAAGTAGATTTACCTTAAGCTAAAATTATATTTTGGATTGTGATTAGTGCTAGGAGACACTTTAAGTGTTGTTCATTTACAATAGCACAGTGACCTGTAGTTTATCCTGCACCTGTGACTTGCGTTTTGTACCTGCCCGTACGGCATGGTTTATTCACACAAGTGACTCTGTGCTCAAAACAAGACCAATTCAAGTTAAAAAAGGGAATGTTTATATTCAAACGAAACTTTTATGTACGCTGTCAATCATGTCTCACAAAAAGCGAAGGGCAAATATCAAACTATTGCGTATCGCGAAAACAACAGTTCAGGTCAAGAGGTCAAATTACAAGTAAAGTTTCCAGTGAAAAAAACACCATAAACACCCAGTTGACACTGATGACGAGCAATTCAACCAGGATAAAGCCGATGGACATTTACAAACAGGAAATCGAAAAAAAAATCGGCAAGTAGAATTCGAAAGACAAGCCAAAGAACTAAAGCAATGAGAAGCACCTTGAGACTTTGTTCACACAGTTGCGTATTAAACATTTATTTGACAGATGAAAAGTCATGGATTGCTTTTCAAGTTCACATAGCCTGATGACTTCTGCCATATGAATGATGCAAAATGCCTGTTCGATCACTTTACTTAGGTTTCGATGCAAAGTATCACCTGAGCCATGTGAATGAATGGAAATTTCCTGGAAAGAGTTGTCAACTGCTAACTGTATCTTAAATTTGCATAGTTCAGGAATTTCTCGCAAGAATTAAACCCTGAGCAGCATTTGTTATTTTATAGAGTCAGGGTTTTCTTTACGGTTTTAAGTAGCTGGAGTTTTTTGAAGAGTAGACGGTTGTGGGTCCAGAGGAGCCATATGACAGGCGAAAGCCCATCATTTCTAGGGGGTCCAGGGGCCTGCTCCCCTGCAAAATTTTTGAAAACTGAACTCTGGAAAATGCATCTGGGCATTTTGGGCCTTGAAACTTTGACATCAGAGGGATGAATTAAGCTGCAAATATACGGTGACAATCGTGTTACTCAAAGAAAGACAATTTCAATAATACAACCATGTAAACAAATAGTGGAATGATATTTTTCGTATCTTTATGGTGGTTTTCCTGGAGCTAACGATGGGCACTGCAAATTTGTATTTTTATTGAGCCTAAGTTTAGACCGGATAAACATCATCTCCTCACCATATCTTGACTCTTGAAGAAATGAAAGGAGCCGGTAAAGCGTCGCAGAGAAGCCGGCGAACTTCGCCAGCTACCGGCTCTTATATATGTTGTAGTTAATTTTTTATCTCAGGTAATTTTTATTTTTCTTTTGTTTCAACTTCATTAGCATATATTACCATACCCCAAAACAGAAGAAAAACAAAAATTACCTGAAATAAAAAATTAACTACAACATATACAACCATGAGAGTAGAAGGTTGCTAATGACGTGAGAGTCTCCAATTAAGTGTGAGTGTTTGTTCGTCGTTCGTTGTACTTTGTATTGTGAAGTCAGGCAACAATTACTGTATAGAATCAAAACCAAATTCAAAGTTGCATAAATTCTTTTGCTTATGCTTCCTCTTCACTTTCTTTTTCAGTTCTTGAACTTGTTATCATGTACAACGTGCATAGCAAAATAACATTACTTGCCCACAATGTGCATGGTAAAATAACATTACCCACTTCTTTTACATGTCCATCCAATGTCTTTAGCATGCAACGTTGTGTAACAAAAGTATTTATCATTGTTTATGTGAATGTTTTTTTTCTTTTTGTGTTCCTCTTAAGTGCAGATTTAATTACATGACTGCTTAATTTTTCTTTTGCAGTTTGTTTAATTTTTCAAGGAATCAACAAGAAGACGAATTTCATGCAAAAATACATCACTGAGAGAAAAATGCAAGAACAATAGACAGAGAATATTTGATCTAATTTTTTGAGTGGTGTTGATTCCACAATATTGTAAATAACTAAGCCATCAAATTAGTATGTTTTATATGACCTTAGAGTTAGTTTCATAGCTTGACATGTGAGGGTAAGATCGTCAGGCCAGCCCTTAAAGTTAGCTGTGTATCATAGCTAGCTAATAGACTGGTTGTTGATCAACATTGAACGGTCTATCCTCTTCGATGATCCTTTCATGCAGGGAATTGTGAAAGGTCGACACAGAAAACAAACCTGTTGTCGCTCCAGGGAGAATGTTCCTCAATAGCTAGGGTGCATTCAATTGAGGGTATTGAAAATGAGGATAGAAATCAAGAATTTTGCGTGGTTTGGTAATATCATTACATTCTGTACACTGGGCAATATTTAGATGGTATCTTTCCAGCCATGTTTCCAACCATCTGAATTCTACAATTCACTCAATTGAATGCACCACTGTAAGCATGCGTACCTAAGAATTTGTCACTAATATTTGAAAGAAAGGATTAAAGTGTATAGGTACTAGATAGTCGTTTGGATCGCAGGCGAGAGATAATTAAACATGCTTGCCATTTGTTTGGTTGAGGATAAAGTGCACATGAATTCCATGTCATTGTACAAAGTAATTTCCCTGATTTATTGGAGCTAGTTATAGTGCAGACAGTTGTGCATGTCTTGTTTTAACCACATAGTTATATTATTTTGGTCAGTTTAGCTTTTGTTTCTGTTTTATTTTACCAACCAACCTAGAGTTGCTGTTGTTTGGTTTGATTATTCATACAATATTTCTAAAGATCAACTCAGAGATCATTGTAAACATTTAGTGTTCACCATGCATTGTACATCACAAATTGTTAGCTGGGACTCGCCTTTGTAGTACATGTTTTAGGCCAGACATAAACCAGGGACACAATGCAGCGACACATCTCCTGATTTGACATGGGTTTACATAAAATCCTGTGGCAGGGACATACATGTAATTCTATCCCTGCACCATGTTGGGTGAAATTTCAACTGGTTTGAATTTGCGTGTCATGAAGCAGGGACAAGATGTGAAGCCAAGTCCCCCCCGTTTCCCCCACCCCCGTTTCTGCAAGACATTATGTTGTGTTGAAAAATCTATTGTGAGGACAAAATTTATCTCTGCAACATGTTGCATTAAATTCAGCTGGTTTGAGTTTGTGTGTCATGAAGCAGGGACATGATGCAGAGGCAAGCCCTCTGATCTGGCTTGATTTTATGAAAAGATTCCTTGTTTTGGGGGACAAGATTTTTACCTCACAACATGTTGCAGCATGAAATTCAGCTGGTTTGAATTTGTGCATCATGAAGTGGGTACATGATGACCATATCATTGGCACTGTCCCTGCCACATCTTCTCTTGCATCTATGTCCTGGCTTTTATCACATTGCTGTAAAGTATGTTGGGTAGCCCTGTAAGCCCTAATAGAGACTGTAACATCTAATTTCTCCTTAGAAAAGGAGGAAAAAGAATAAGTAGTATTGTCATAAGGGCCTTAAGAAATGGTTGGAGAACACTGTGAGGAAATTGCCTTTTAGTGGATAAGCTAAGGTTGCAGCTTAAATAAGCTCTCTCTGCCACAGAGGTTTGTTGGAGCATTTGTGCGTAGTAAGTGCAGTCGCGAATGCTAAAAGATCTTCAAGTAGCTAATTTAACTCTTGCCCTTGCTTTTTCAATGATTTTCTCTAAATGAAAAACCCCAATGAACCTCTAAGCAGGAGAGATCCAAAAGGGAGGCAGGTATTGGGACTTGTCAGTAAGCTTCCTGTCAACTGTTTCAACACCTTTACGTCGTGATTAATTATTATTAATTTTTTTCTTGTTTGCTGTTTGTGCCGTGTGCTCACCCACCAATTTAGTTTGCCCATTCCTGGATGGAACTGCAAAATGCAGTTGTCTATCACAGCATTCTCAAACATTTTTCACATACTTTTCATACAGTACTAGTTAGGAGAAATATTAAAGATTGATACAAAGTATGCCCTCTGTGAGAAGTGTCTTGTTTATGTATGACTTTCCATAATAACCTGGAGAAGTCATGGAAAAGCAGTACAGGGACTGAATGGTGTGACTTGTTGTAATGATAGCATTGTTTATACAAGGGCTATTTGATTTCTGTGTGCAATTTCACCTTGGTGTATATACAATATGCTTATAATGAGAAAACTATACAAGTTCTTGACCACAGTGTTATCTCAGAAAGACAACATAAAATTGAACGAAATTGAAAATGAAAGGCTATTGTTGTCGTTGCTACATGGTTGCTAAGCCGTACACATCATGAAACAAGCCGTTGTAAATTATTCCACTCCCTTGAAACTTCTATTACCAATTACTCGTTCTTATTCGCAGTGAAACTTGACTTATAGAAGAAATTAATTTCAAACGACAGAAAGAACTGCTTGATGTCACACAGATTTATCTTCTAAGGGTTACATCAAATGTTACAGACAAAAAGAACGAACTTTGGAAAACTGTCAAGCTAACAAGTATCAGGGGAGGCATCCTCGGAGACCCAGGGGCAGATAAAGGGGGCGAGGGAAAGTCTAAACGGGCGGAAAAATATGGCACGAAGAAAAGTAAAGAACGGCGAGAAGAGCCTTTTTATGTGTTTTTGTTCGCCTCTATTTTGATAGTTGAACGTTTCTGGCGTCTGTCCTTTCTGCGCTCTTTGCGCTTATTAGCCTTTTTAAACCGCTCGTTTGGAAACGTTACATAGACGACCTCTTCTGGCTCTGGACTACAAACAGAGACAGAATAGAACATTTCATTGAACAAGTAAACAATCATCACCCTACGATCAAATTTACGGCTGAAATTTCCGATAAGGAAACAACATTCCTGGACACCTACATCTACAAAGGGGAAAGATTCGAAAGAGACGCAATCCTTGATGTGCGTACTCATTTCAAACCAACTGAGACATTTCAGTATACCCATTTTGCTTCCTGTCACCCGCAAGGAGTTAAAAAAGGCTTCATTAAAGGGGAAGCCCTCCGACTCCTCAGAAAAAACTCTTCCAAAATAATATTCGAAGAGAAAATTACAAATTTCAAAGCGCATCTGCTACAGAGGGGTTACCCAGAGGATCTTATTAACACAACCCTCTCAGAGGTGAACTTCAAAGACAGGAAACTAGCCCTTCAACAGAAACCAAAGACAAACCAACGAATCTTGCCTTTTGTCACACAATACCAACCATCAGTGCCAAACCTAAAGCAAATTCTCGTGAAAAACTGGCATTTAATAGAACAACAACCATTACTGAGCGAAATCTACAAAAAACCGCATCTCGTATCTTATAAAAGAGGGCGGTCGCTCAAAGACATACTCGTGAGAGCCAAACTATAAAAAGGCTATTTTAACACGCGCTGGGGAGTCGTGTAGGCCTGTCAACCCCATTTTACACTGCTTTTGGAATGTTTCACTTTTATTCCCCCTTTTCGATCTTTTGCTGGGCATTTACTAGGCCTTATTGCAAGTAGAAAAGTTTTCGCGAACACCCCGAGGAACGTGAATTTCTTTACAAGGAAGTACAGATGGGTTGTGAAGAAGATTTTCATTGAAATGTTCTGGTAAAAGTTACATGATTTTTCAGTTGTTTTTCTCTGGCCTGTTTAACCGAATCGCGTTCAACTGGGTATGGTTTGAAAGATCTCAAAGTTACATCTCAAAGTTGTCTGTGACAGTTAAAATTTGCTGACACGGAAGTGGGTCTGCGAGCGTCGAGGTTGCTGAAGCTCCCTAAACTCTACCCTTCGACGTACTTGTGTTAAAATGGATTAAGTGAAGGTTTGTTTTGCTCTTTTGAGTCTTGTACGTGACGTCTCAACCAACTTCCAAACGTTTGTGTCCCGGTCATTTACAAATATTACAAATATTAGTATGTGTAATCAAATGGTGACGAGTGAAAAAGGCTAGGGAAATTATAAGGATTTGGACAAAACGCAAGTGAAATTATTCCCTAATTTCACGAGTATACCATTTGATTAGTAATGGTAACAGGACTGAGTGGAGTCCAATTCGGTCTGTAATCATACGAGTGATTAACAAAATCGGACGAACGCGTAGCGGGAGTCCGATTTGTTTAATCACGAGTATGATTACAGACTGAATTGGACGACACGAAGTTCTGTTACCAATTAATCATAACTTTAACAAAATTTGTGATATAAGGCCCTTTTCTGAAATCAAAACAGAAGAAATTCCAATTGTTTTTTGCTAGTGGTGAAAAAAAGCCATTTAAGCGTGCGCTTGATGGCGCGTACTGTCCAATTACTTATGAAGCGTACTGTCTTATTAAATTGTCCAGGCCATTTGCACTAGGCCATTTGCACTAAGAGGTCATGTGACATCTTTTTGTGAAAATGAAAGTTACATGATTTTTTCTTCAAAAAACGAGTAGTGGGTCTTATTTTTAGCAAAATAATAGTGATTTGGTTTTTCAAACCTGTACCATTTTCTTAAAATGAGTGAGTTCGTAGCTGGTCACGTGACCAAACTGTGATTTTTAAAATTATGAATTACCTCTTTCTGAACACAAATTTTGCACTTAAACTTCAAGGAAAGTGTTGAAAAGTTGATGTGGGAATGTTTACAGCACATCTGAGCGTAACTATCAAACGTTAACAAGATCTAAGCAAAAAGTAGTTTTGGCCGCCATGTTGGAGGGCAAGAGTATGCCCTCCAACATGGCGGCCAATACAAATGATACTACTTTGTTGAAAAATCAAAGTGCCATAAAATATCTCCTTTAAATGCGTTTCCTCTCAAATTTCGGGTGTACGATAATTTTTATGTGCTCTGTCAATTTTTGGCATCAGCAAGATTCCAACTCATTGTTTAAAGGAAGCATTGGTCACGTGACCTCTTAGTGCAAGTGGCCTATTAAGGCTGAAATCAGGGCAGTTGATAGCCACTCAGATTTGAGAATTTTGTTATAGTTATGATTACATCTGAAATAAACGCACTTTCAGTGCGAATTTTGATTTAAAACCTCGTCAAGGAGAGTGTAGGCTTACTTAGATAACAAAAATAACATAGTAGCATTTCTTCCGTTTTTTCCGCTCCAAATCATCATTGGAGTAATCTGACTTTTTACATCATCTCTTTCAATTATGGTGATTTTCGTATTTTCTCAATATTTTCTTAAATAGGTTCCTATTTTCTGAAGGAAAAAAATACATTGTAGCTAAGAGTATTAAAGTGGTATTCAGCTTATTCCTTATATAGAGTCTGCATATCAATACATTGTAGTTGGTCAGGAGTGAAAAGTTACCTACAGGTATGTCTCCAAAGAGGATCCTGAATGTCGACTTATCTTATTTGCTCTTGAAAGTGTGCAAAATTTTTTTATATATAAATTTTAGAAAATAAGAACCTGTTTCAAATTTTAGGCTAAACAGGTTCTTGACTGTATAGAGGGCGCCTAAATGACCTAAATGGCAAACTTTAGCCGAACAGGTTCCCAGGTTCTTTCTCGCGGGTTTTTCACTTTTGGTGTGTTTGAGAGATACGTGGACCAGTCATATATGTATAACAGACTTATTATCTGTAAAGGACAAGTGCATTAAGACTGATATTATTTTATTTATTCATGTAATTAAAGTTTGTCTTTATCAAGAAAGTGTGAAACGGAACCTCTACCACGAGCCATTCATTGGTATTGACTAAACTCTGCCAGATCTTTAATTGGCACTCTTTAGAACTTTATTCATAGGTAAAACGAAGGATTAACTTGCCTTCAGAAATGATTTATCATATTTTAACCCCTTTGCCACTGGAATTTTTGCCGAAAACAGCAAGCCGTTCGATGATAGTCGAGCGGTTTTCCGGTGACCTTCTGGCTCCAGTTAAAAGGAGCAAAACCACCTGCACCAAAACGTTGTTTACAAGTCGAGCGCTACGCTGGTTTTGGTGCGTGACACTTTATTACAGCTTTTAAAAAGTTCAGGCATGAGTAGAAGGCAAAATTTTGAGTGATTTTTGGAGAAACGTTTAATTTTCGTTTTCTCTCCTCCTTGCTTGTGGCATGTTTCACTTTTATTCCCCCTTTTCTTCCTTTGCTAGGCATTTCCTTTTTTAAGGCTTTATTGCAAGTAGAAAAGTTTTCGCGAACACCCCGTGGAACGT